AGGGGCTGCGCCTTTGTGCGCCAGCGCAGCATTTTGTGGTGTTCAAGCAACTTTAACGGAAATTCAAACTATTTTGGTAAGGCTCACAATTTGGGACAGGATTTTAATAGGGCCCACAATTTGGGACGACACTTTAATAGAGCCCACTCTGGAGGCAAACCACTCTGGAGGCACGTTGAGGTCCTCCGCCGCTGAAGAGAACTTGTCGACAGCTGGCATCCTGGCAACGGACAGGTGCAACCGTTTGCAAAGCTCTGCGCTCCTCGCCTGCCTCCGAGAAGCCACCCAAGCACTGGCCGAGGTGGCCAAAGAAGAAAAACGTGAAGTTCTCCTTACCCGATCCAGTTGTGCATTTCGAGGATTGTGCATGAATGCCAGCTAACACAGCGTCAAAGTAGGCAGCGCACTGCTGCGATATCACCAGGTGCCAGCTGACAGGTGGAAAAGACAGACTGTGAGACTGCAGGACACGGCTACTTGATCAGCACCTTGATCAGACGTCCATGATATATGAGCCGCAGTGCACCTGGAATAGAAGAGTGCTGCGGCACCCTAAACACTTGCCAGGCCTGTCCAATCCGCCTGAGCGTACGTAGAGAATGGAGTTGGCCGGGACGTCTTCGCCTGATGCTGATTAGTAAACTAAACTAATCCTTGTATTCTTTGTATTTGGCATGCCGCTAGAAGCCTCGCCAACGATCCAAATGCAAAGTCCTGCTTTGCATGGGGCACACAGGCTGGTCGAGCCAGTGGCAACAGCGGCATACACAGTCAAACTCTCAAACGCACTTGGCACCGTTAGTTGAACATGAAACGCCGTTAGTGTTTTCTACGCGCCGTTAGTGGGAAGGCTAAGGAAATGAATAAGAACCCCATCATGGTGTTGTCTCCGGAATTTCCTGTGCAAGCAGCAGGCTTTTGGAGAAACATGCATCGTTGGCAAATGCACTTGTTGTCTTGGCTTGTGGATGGATGTCGGGAGACGTCGGACATGTACGGGAGTTCGGATGACCAAAACCTTTGGATCACTTTGCGTGACCCAGAACCCTGCACTACAACGATATGAGCTGAGCAGCTTTCTCCCCATACCAGTCTGCGAGGTGCATCAACACCGACAACTCGAAGACCTGCACCAAGAAAAAGTCGAATGTACAAGCACCAACTTCAAAGCAAAAAGTGGCATGATGTCTTGCACCTGCCAGGGCCAGGCCGACTGACCTGCTCAAACGGCTTAGGATTCTGGAACCTCGCGATGCGCGCAGAGCTCAGGCGCCTCATTGCTTCGAAGAAGGGCTCCCAATATCTGCTATCGTCGCCCAATCCATGGAAGCAAAACACCGTCCCCTGCCATGGGACCACGGGTCACTGCTCCCGGCTTGATGCACACGTCACACGCCTGATGCTTTCCAGATGGCTCCAGGATTGTGCGAGTGCTGAGCGTGAGGGTAACATCGCCTCGCACAGGCAGTTGCAGATGGCCCTTTCTGCCTCACAGTCGTGCGTGATGTTGCTACTGCACCTCCTGCTTGCTCGTAGGCGGCAGAAGACCTGCAGCACGTGCAACAGCTGAAAGCCTGCAAGCTCATGACTACGTTTGCAAAAACCAGTAATAAGGCTAAGGTCACAGAAAGACGTGAATTACAAACTTACCTCGTTTGCAGCCATGCAAGGATTGCTAGAAAGAGGAGATCAGTAGATACAGGGCCTTGCCTCCCCGAGTCCATCATTCCTGATGGGGTTGCTCCCATGTGGAAGTGTGTTCTTATTGCTGCGGGCCGAGACAGCTCTTGAACGGAAGCGTGGAATGCGACTGTTGGAAGCGGGCACAAGTTTAGACCAGACAGTCTCCTGAAGAAGAGCCACGTTGGGAGCTTGACTGCGCTGGTATCCATCACCTCCCTCGCCGTGAAGGGCTCTCGACAGGCTGCACTGGAAGTGGTGAGTCTCTTTAGGCGCCAGGCCACAGGGCGGCCGTGCTTCGGCGCCTCGGGCAAAAAGGGCTTGACTTTCCGTGCTTGGCTCTGCGCTTCGCTTGGGGCGCCTCGGGCCCGGGCCTTGGAGGCCAACGCGTTCACACTGACTGGCAGCGGCCGCCGGAGTGGCTGGCTGGAGCCCTCTGATGGCCTACGGCTACAGTACGGCGTCAGACGGCGTCGCCCAGACGCAAGGCAGACATCCACCACGGAAGCCTCGCCCAGTCCGGCACGTTATCGGTGAAGCGGCGCGCTGCCGCATTGTAAGTAGTACCTAAAAGGAAGGTGTGAAATGAATTCCACAAACGCCGAGAGTCTGAAGCACGGCCTTGAAACGTGCGTTCGAAGTAATTTTTTATCCACTGAAGCATTTCCTTGGCACGGTCACAAAATCGCCTTGCGCTCTTCCTGTGGTGAAACTGGATAAGGCAACTGAGGCTCCAAATTGTCCTGATATTTGCCACGCACCAACTTGTCAACCTGACAAAACACACCCAAAGCAAGGCCGAGTTCGCCTCATCATGCTCTTCGGACCAAGGCTGGAGTCTCGGCGGCGGCCTCTATGTGCCGTTGGATTCCTACCTTGCTGAAAGCCTGCTGCAACACCTGCAGACACAGAACAGTTCTGGACCGCTGCAACGGCTCTCCCTTCTGCCTTGTAGTTAGGGATGCACTGATGCTCGTCCCTCGCCTGGGATACGCATACGCACGGAGTACCAGCACAGCTGGCAGCCTATTTCGAGGCGACGAACCATCCAGTTGACCCGCTTCATGGAAACGGCCTTATCTCAAAGCACTCACGGAAATCAGGAGGATGCTCTTCGTGCTCTCTTTGCGCTCTGTTCGTGCTCGGGGTCCGGACTCCGGGATGGCACGCATCAATGATCTGGGGCAGGCAAACAACGGGAACACTTTTGAAGGGCCCCCGCCCCCCGCCCAAATTGGGCGCCGCCTGGCAGTACACCGCACCATTCGCGCATTGCTCCACCTGGGGCAGGGCCGGGCTCAGACACACCTGGAGCACTTCGCCGGCCGCGACATCCGCCTTGTCCAGGCTGAGCCTAGGGAGGGCTCCAACTTCGGATTCAGATGGGCCCAGTCAGACGGATCCGGGGCCCTGGCTGAAAGCTGCTGTTAAGCCATGCAAGCAACTCTGTCCTGGCAGGACATTGCAAACAAACGGCAAAGTCACAAGCAACATACCGGTCCTGGACACAAAGAATGCTCCATCCATGCGCCCAACAGAAGACATCGTGGAGCGATTTGCCAAGGCCAGGTTTGAGGCAAGATCTGGATTACATCTTTGGGCTGGGCATCTCGGACCCGCAAGTGCGCTTGTGGCCGAGGTGTGAAGCATCGAGAGAAGATAGGGCTAAACGACAATGCTTGGTAGTGAAACGTCTGACTCGTGTTTGCTTGATGCTACGGTGGTGCTTCGGCAAGAAGCAACTGGAGATGAAAATGGTATATGTCGGCCTCCCGAGTGCATGTGCAGGCGAGCTCCGCAGAAAGTTGCTTTGTTCTCTATCCTGAGTCTCGGTTTCCTGTACACTGCGCCAGTGGTTGGCTGGTTCAAGACTTCTGCGATGCTTTCCAGGACTCATGCAGCTTTTTCTGCTTTTCAAGGTCCTGCGCGACAGCACGAGAAGTGGAGGCATCACCCCACCCCTCTCTGCCGTTTCCCAGCTTGCCTTGGCCAGCTTCTTGACGGCGCTCTTCGGAAGCGCAGTGCCGTCCTTGTCGTGTGTGGGCAGGCCCGTCTCGTCGTATGCGGAAAACTCCGAACCTGAGAAGGCTCTCAGCAAGACAAGTAAGGATCTATGCGCGGAAGCAAGCCGAGGTGCCTCTTTCTTGCTTGAAATATTCCTGCATCCCAGCAAGCGCTCGACATGCACTGCTCGGCAGAGAAATGTTAAATCCCCTGCGCCCAGCGTCCGAAGCACGATCTAGATACCGTCGTAACTTCTTCAATAGAACTTATGCTGAAGTCAGCACTGCTCCTCGGGTGGAAGCTTTTGCAGTCGCTCCTTTTCAGCTGCTGCAGCTGCCTGAGCATCTTTTCTGCTGGCTGCGCCTTTGCAGAGCTTCAAGCTCGAAAGGGAGACACTTTGCCCGATGCGCCTTTGAGCCTGAAAGGGTACAAGACCAGAATCTCCCTCAGGCTCAATGCCTCGTCCCTCGAGCTTCTTCTTGTCTGAGGACTCTTTCAAAGGCACCACCCGGTTGAAGGTAAGCTTGCGGGGTGTGCCAAAGCAATCGTAGTCAGGTGCCTCGGACATTCGCTAAGCGTAAGGGGGTCAAAGCTGCAAAGGCTGCAAAGGCGCTCGAGTGCTTCCACGCAACGAAGTAGCCACAGCGTTCGAACTGGAAGCGATCTTCCAACACGCATTGGCCAAGCGCTCTCTCGACTTTGGCAGCACATTGAACCCAGGCTTCGGGATTCATGTACTCCACCCAGTCCTTGCCCTCCGGCAAAGGATCCGGGATTGGTAGAAAGAGAGGGTTGATCAAACGGACCTGCGACCAGCGAGAGGCATCTCAGTCACAAAGCAAACTGCTGCAAGCACTTTAAAACCGGGCAGAGCCCTCCCCGCCCCCCCCCCCCTGCACGCCAAAGAAAGTGCCTCGGCATCCAAGCAATCCTTGGAACACACAAGGCCGAGGCTTAGAGGGTCCAGACCTCCGGGCCACACGGCTCGGGACAGAGCTCTCGTTTATGTCGCAGAAGTGCTTGGCCAAGGCTCCTTGGCATTGACCCAGTGGATGACTTTGGGCTTCCGGTCCGCAGGCATGACGTCGCGGGTGCTGGGATCATGACCTTCGAGAAGAAAGGCTGTAGCGCAGCATCAAGAATGGGCCAGCGCAGCAAGCAGGCTGCATTTGAGCTTCACCACTTTACCCGCTGCATCCTTGACTACCTCTTCTAGCTTGATGACCTCGCCGGCAGCTGACTCTATCGTGCACCGCTTCTGTTCATCTTGCAGTCCTGCACAGTGCTGGCAAGGCACATACGAATATCTCAGTTTGACTTCGCTGCCGATTTTTCCCAGGCGAAAGTATCCTTCAGGCGGATTCTCCTCACACTTCGAGCAAAGATCGAGAAGATCCGCGTTGCAACCAAACATTTGAACTCCGGTCCTGGTAGTCAGACCGGTCAATAAAGACATTACGGGAGAAACCTGACTCGACCGGTTGGAGATGGCTTCACAGCTTCAAATCGATGCACAAGCGTCCGAAGCCACTTCTCAAGCACGGCAGCTGAGAGTGCGGGTGCAGCTAGGGTCGGCCGCAGACTGCTCCGGCAGATCGGTGATGCCTGGAATCTCTTCCTCCTTCTCATAATCAACGATCTCCTGTGCAACCACAAAAGAAACTGCTCCAGGCATTCCTTGCCGGATGCAGGCAAGGAGCCACCGCGAGCGGGTCCAAGACGGCCAATCTTCGCTTGCTGATGGGCTCCAAGTCTTCCCTCCAGCACTCCTGCACTTCACGACAGTCTGCATCTTGCGAGAGCGTGCGAGGTGCGAGAGGAGCAAAGTGCGCAGACAAACGACCAGCAGAAGCTATCAAGCTGGGGCTGGCCCACCACAGGGAACTCTCGTGGCAGGGCCTCGACAAGGTCCCAAGGCGTCACGCTGTTTCTGTCGCTGACACCAACCTGAGCTCTGCGGCGTGCCGCCAAAAAAGATTCCACTTGCCCAATAGCTTGCCGCCAGAGGAGACCGTGCGAATCATGAATAATTTACTCTTCATGTTTCGCGACACACTGAGGAATCAGATGAAAGATGCTGCCATCGAGCCGTGCCAAGTGTGACGGAGGCAAGACGACTTGAACGGACCAATTGAACCTACTCGGTCTTTCAGGAGCGAAATTGAAGAAGCGACGATATTGGCTTTGCCAAGATGCGGCATCACACATTCGCTTCACTCCTTGTGGACGAACACCACGTCTGCGTATCCCCCGAACAGTAAGAAGTCTGGGGTCGTCCCAGCCAGTCACATACCCCTCCTTAGGTGGACAGACAAGATTTTCGATGGCAAAAACACGCTTCATCTTGCGGTGCCACCAAGCATCGCGAACCAGTCTCAGGAGCTTGCGCTTGGAGGTGAAGGCACCCTGCACTTCCAATCTGGCGAACTCCTTCTGGTAGGGTCGGCTGGGAACGATTGACGTGTTATCCTCAGTCATCAAAGTCTGCACTGTATCTTCGCATCCTGCGAAACAACTCACATGCAAGCAAGTGTGCATTCAGGTTTTTCAGGCCGGCGTCGAGAAACCAGTCATACAACGCACGATGGTTCTCAAACTCCAGGGTGCAAATTGAGTGCGTAACGCCCTCTATTGCATCCTCATTTCCATGAGCGAAGTCATATATCGGATACACCTCCATCAAAGATCACGAGCCCTGACAACACCTGCAACTGTGGTGGCCTTCCAGCGGTCGCCAGTTCGGTGGTGATGACTAAATCGAATCCGGTACCTTGAGCCGTTGCAATGCATACGTGTGTGCACAAACGAGTGTTAGCACCGTCTATACCAACATGTCATGCTCAGGCGTTCGTCAGCTTTTGAAGTTCCAGCGGCATGGGTGGGTCCCGCATGTTCATGTTCGGATGGTTCATGTCGATCTTGGCCCGGAGAAGAAGCGAGCCCTCTGCGTGCTTTCCCGCCTGCATCTCTTCGAATAGCCGTAGATTCTCCTCGACACTACGGTTTCGAAACGGCGAGTCAACCTTGGTGCAGCAGGTGCAGCAGAAGACATTGCCTTCGCATGGGTTGAGCTTTTCAGAGCTTGGGACTCCCGGAAGATTGTTCGGGCCGCCACCGCGATTCTTCTGCACCTCCAATCGATTCGACACAATGCCCAGGAAGACTCCCTTCACAATCCCTTGTTACCTTGGGCCTCCTCGGGAGTCTGCGAGTCCACATATGCCTTTCCGTGCTTGATCAGATCGATGGCGAAGTCGTACATCTTCTGAAAGTAGTCACCTCAGGTTGCGCCGACATCATATGAAGTGGTGACAAAGTGTCACCTGAGCTGTGCACTTGCATACACGGGCTCACCCACCCAAGGCTTGCCACCAGCCTTGCACTTCTCCATGTCAAGACCCTGACCAGAAGAGCCCGGCCAAGCAGAAGCAGAAAGGATGGCAGCACACAGTCGAGGCTGCCTGACATACCCAACACACATCCTCCTGAATCGACTCCACATACTCCGTCTCCTCCGTGTCTGGGTTTGTATCGTCAAATCGAAGGTTGCAACCGCCGCCGTACCTGAAATCACAAATCCCCCAAAACGTCACGGGTCAGTCTATGGCAAGAGCCATGCCGGAGCCATGCCGAATGCTGACATGATGGCTCCTGGCAGCAAATTCACTAACGGTCACTAACATTCTGTCTGCTCGACAATCTGAAATGTTGCTCCCATCGTATACTGAAAATATGCTGCTACGTATAAAAATTCCAAAGTAAGCTAGGCGATCATCCAAGGGGCTTCTGTGCCAAGCCAAAGTTGATGGTGATGGACTTTGCATGGCCAATATGCAGATATCCATTCGGCTCTGGAGGGAATCGCGTCAAGACCTTGTCGAGTCGTTGACTAGCGGCAAGCGGCTAGCATGTGGCGACTTTAGCAGTAACTCCGCAGGGGCCTTCTGGCCATGGCAGCGCCCGCCTTTTGCCAGGTCTGTGTCGATCCTGACAGCTACCGGCTGCCGAACTGTGTTGGTGCGTTCAACTGTCGCCAGGGTACCACTTTTCCAGGAAGCTTCTGCCGTCCGAGGCCTCCTTCAAAGACTCACTGCTGGCCGTCTGCCGGTTTCAATTCTACAAGTGCATGAATATGTGAGATCTCCTCCGCGTTGGCCACGGTGGATGCCTCCAGAGTGAAAGCACGATGTGAACCACGTCAGAGTCCACAGGACCAATTAACTCCAGTTAGTCGGTTAGAAAAGCTGTCCCGACAAATGCGTCACGTGGACAGCTTCGGGAGTTGCGACAGCGACCCAAGTCTTAAACGCATAATACAACCACCACGGCTCCTGCCTGCGGCGATGTAGGCTTGGACTTCACATCTTGTTTGGGTTTGGCTTCCTGCTTCGGCTTCGGAGCCTGGTCGAAGCTCTCATCAAATAGCTATACGATGGCCATGCGATGGCCCAAGGCGCCTGGACGGAGGACGCGCCTGACGCGCCACTGGGGTCCTGGCTCTCCTCGGGAAGGTGCAGGAGCACTGGGGAACCTGCAACAGCAACACCACCTCCATGTAGCATCCGCCAAGCGAGAACTTCACACATCAGGTGCCCGCCTCCGAAGGGCAGCCCAAGGCCAGCCAAGTAACCGGCTTTCATGGCGAGGAAAATCAGGCCGGCTTGCCCCTCCGGTTAGTGTTGAGTGATCGCTTGTATTCGGACCTGGGTGCTGTTGGCTTCCAGGGGATTGCTGAACACAGTCAGAAGACACAGTAACTCGAACGTTGCAGCTCCTTGCCTTGATATTCCCAGCTTTACATGGCGTTCGTGCAGACCAGCTTTCACACGCAAGGGAAGCTGGAAGAGAACATTCTGGGGAGGAATGATCAGGATAGCATGAACCATCATCAGTCAGCAAAGTGTGATGCTTGATCACCAGCACCAAGCGTTTCTGTTTCATAACCAAGACATGCACCGGGACGGCGAGTGAAAGCTTTGCCTTCTCGCACCTCTCTCTTCCAAACGAAGAGTGCTGAAATCATGTCGTGCCGTTGCTCGGCACATTTCTTGAGAAATGGGCCAAGCTGCTGTAATGTGTACGTTTCTTCTCTCAACTGTTGGGTTGCGGAATAAACACGGGAACAGCATGCTCAACATGCTCGTATAGGAGATAGACAGTTTTACCCTATTCTGACTTCTGCATTTGCTACTACAGTGCCTGTGCATCAGCTCTGCATGTCTGAAAATCCTGTGGACTGCTCACTAGCTTGGACTCATGTTCTGCGACATAACACGGCGACGGTGACTGCTCACGAGATCTGGAAGGAAACCTGGCTGGACATTCATGGATGGCCAAGTTCTCCCCACGTTCTCACCACGCCTCTTTGACGAGCCGGACGAGTTCCTTCACTTCCTCGGAATCCGAAAAGGTGACAGCTCTACCGCAACAGCAGTGGGGCCGAGCAGCTCGTCTCATCTTGAACAAATCGATGCTGCGTGCAGCTCCGTGAAATTGCTTGATGCCCATGGCAAACTCTTCCTCCCCGAGACAAGGCTGAGCGAGTCGCTTGAATCGAGGCCCTTTGAAGGTCCTGGTCGATGCAGCCGTTTTCATCCATGTCGAAGAGATCCCACAACTCGTCCGTGTTCGTCGTCTCTGTATTGATGCCTCAAAAAGAACTTTTGCTGAAAACCTAGCGCTGTCATACGACCAAGTCAGATGAGGCCGGTGCCCAGGTGAGAAAAACATGTCGCAATCCTATCGCTGTTCGTGACGTGATAGACGAACTGCTGCTTTGTCAACCTCCCTTCATGTGCTTCGCTGATTCGCGAGAAGAGATCCTTATCTTCGCTGCTCTGCTCTCTCATCAGCACATTGAAGCCAAATCTGTATCCAAGAGGCTGCCACTTCGACAATCCACTTTTGTCGCTCCTTGCTTCAGTTGGTCACTGTTTGGTCACTGTTCACACCGTGACCATGATCAGAATACACCAGATTGTGTAAGCGGCTCGGGACAGCAGGTGATTTTTTCTGAAGGGCAGAAGCTCGGAGCAGGCATTGTGCACATGTCTCGGCTTGTTCGATTGCCGCGATGGCTAATGAGCTCGCGATGTATACTTGCCGGCGTCTTCTCTCTGCTTGAGAGTCTGCGTCGGAGGGGATGTTCGTTTGGCTGATATGTTACTCGCTTCCGTGAATGTGCGTGTGTTTGCCTTTGTGCTGTCCGATTATCGTATCTTGCATCTTTGCTTGTGGATTCTATTTGTTCGCTTGCTTGTTTGATTGTCCGGTGGGTTGATCGGTCGGTCGGTCGGTCGGACGGCGGGTGTGTCGGTGGGTTGGTTGGCTTGTTGGTTTGTTGCACGCTTGCTCGCTTGCTCGCTTGCTCGCTTGCTGGCTCGCTGGCTCGCTGGCTTGCTGGCTTGCTGGCTTG